TATATATATATATATATATATATATATATATATATATATATATATATATATATATATATATAGAAGCCATGCTTTGTATACCCTATTGCACTGTAACATGCAATGTTTGTGGGACATTTTTATTTTTTACCCCATGCGCACGGTTTTGAAACGTGACCGGCAAGCCGATCAAAGACTCACTAGATTTTTAATTTGCAGTAATGCATGTCGTAGCTGAATTCTGGTTGAACGAGAAGAATATTGATGAACAAAAGTATAAACCATACAAGAATAAGACGCCCACTTGGTATGGTGGGAGAACAACTGTGCCTCTAGACACCCCACCATGTGGCTTTCATGGCGAACTTTGCCAGAAATCTGAAAAATCTGACAGTATGTTCACTTTTATAATTTTAATAATAAAAGCATCTATTTAAGCGCAATAATAATATCACAGCATAGCTGATGTGGTCGTGTTAACCTAATACTTTATAACAAAATGTGACTAAATTTGACCATACTATGATTTGACTAACTAAATTAATATTTCACATAAAATATACAATAGAAATCACGTGACTTTGACAACACAGTGACACTATTAATATATGATGAAACGAAACGAAATCTACAAATTACTTCCTTTCAGAAGTTATTAGGTGGTGATTGACCCTTGTGTTCGGCACTGATTATAACTTTTCTGTTTCCAGACATTACGAAGATTATTGCAAGTGTCTCTGGTGTGCTAGCTCTGTTGCTGTTATTGCTGCTCTACAATATATACAGGTAAGATTTTGGCCAGTCTCATTTTGGTCAGTCTCATTTTCACTCGGCCACACGTTGAAAACCAGGCTCTGGTTTAGACTACGAAAAGGAGAGATCCATTGACTTCTCAGAGAATATCTATCTATTTATCTAGTTTTCGCTAGGCAAAATTATTCTATCAAAATATGTCAACACAAATACTTCGTTTCTTCGTAATGCTTGTCTGTGAAAATTGTTACGGGTGCTAAAGCGTCCCAATGCAAGAGCATGCGCTTTAGAAACTACTGCAAGTTTTCTTGCACTTCCGGTTCCGTGTATCCCAGGGCCTATGAAGATCGCGAGAGGCCCTGGAGACGAGGATGGATCAGTCTAGAGAAATGTTTGTGCAAGGTTTGCTGTAGGGTACTAAGTCTATTCTGATATGTATTTAGGCAATATTCAATGGAGAAAGAGCTTCAAAGTTTGATGTGGAAGATCGAATCTGCTGATATTTCGTTCGAAGCGCGTCGAAATTCACAAATTTCAATCGAAAGTGGGGTAAGATAATAATGACTTTATTTAAACTGGAGAAAAAGACCGATCAGCATATTTACAAGAAATAGCTGGTATTAACCGGTGACCAGCATCGTAAAGGATTTCTATGGTAAAAAAAAAACACAAATTACTATTTTACACTACATTACTATTTTACACTACATATATGTTCTTTTTTGTCCAATATATGAACGCTATTCGTCCGTTTAAGAGCGTTCAAAAGCAGTTGCTCAACGATTTCTTTTTGTATTTTTAGGTGATTGGCTCATTGATGCAAGATAATCACTCGAGTTCAAGCGAACAGGGAAAGGTACACAGAATGTTGTTTTTATACTCCGTTCATCTGGTGGCGAGCACAACCAAAGGCTTTGTTTTCTTTTTATTTTTTTAAACTGGTTGAAACTTTGTATACGTATGGTTTGAAAACAAAATAGAATGCATTTGATGAGGTGTTTAATCTGAAATGTGTTTCTATTTGTCGACAAGGCACTGTACGTGAGACCTAAGCCACGAACCAAGGCAGGACTTTGGTGGAAATAGTGGGGGAGGTGGAAAAAATTTAGGAGAGATGCAGCGGTTTAGCTCACGACCCCCATGGAAAGTTAGGGCTTAGTAGTTACTGTAGAAGGGGCCAAACGCCCGTATTCTGAAAGCACACTCGCACTCAATGAGTGGAAGTTCCATATTATTCTGACACTGCAATCGAGCAACGAAAAATTCGTTGGCTCGAGCGGGATTTGAACTCGCATCTTCGAGTATCTAGACCGCCGCTCTACCTTTGCTCGAGTCAACGGGGATTGGTAGCGAGTCTTATCCAATTTAAGTGCACGAAATATTTTCGTAACGACTTTACGCTTGTCTTAGAGGACGCGCAGTGTTTCAATTCTATTTCAGAACCATCCTCAGAGATACGAAAAACCAGTTTCATATTATTCTGACACTGCAATCAAGCAACGAAAAATTCGTTGGCTCGAACGGGATTTGAACTCGCATCTTTGGGTATCTACACCGCCGCTCTACCCTGAGCTTCTCTCGAGTGTCATTGCTGTTTTTGAATAGCTGGAGGGTTAGTGTCGTACCTTACTATATGACTACTCACCCTCCAGCTATTCAAAAACAGCATTGACACTCAAGAGAAGCTCAGATTGAACCTCCACTCATTGAGCGTGAGTGTGCGTTTTAGAATACAGGCGAAAGTCAACGACGTGACGTATGCATGTATGTTGTGTACATATATGTATCAGTGTATTAATGAATTATGACTGTACAACTCATCCAATTTTGCCCTTCATTACAATTACTACAAAGTTTCTTTCAAAACATTGCATTAAAAGAGTATTTGACACAGAGATGAATGGCTATCACTGTTTCAATTTTACAGAAGAAACTTTCTTACGATGTGTATAGACCCTAAGCAACCATCAAAATTTCACTTTGATCTGTCATTGAAACTTTCCCAAGGAGATGTGCATGACTTTTCAGGTGAAGTGCAAAAATTTTCAGGGGAGGTTCGCACCTCTTCACACCTCACCTCAAAATCCGGTCATGCCGCGAACGTCTGAGTTTGTCCTACGCGTTATAGCTAGATACACATTCTGTAACTGTGAAATTATTTCAATATTCAGCATCAAGACTATGAAATGACGGACACATTGTTAGAAAACACTGACGATGACCCTACAACGGTCAAGTACACCACAGTTGGACTGTTCAAGGTGAGCAGAGATCGTCTTTTAATATATGACCTGGGGGTCAAGTCCCCCAGCCTCCCAACTATATATTAAGGCTCCAAGACAAAGCAGTAAGAATATCTCTTAAATTCCTTTCTAGGGCAATTATGTGGCGATTAAGAAGCTTTCAATGAAAAGTATTATTTTAACGAGAAATGTGTTAAAAGAACTAAATCTGGTAAGATGTTTAGAAATTTAGCCCATTACGCACGTAAAAACGCACAAGTTGTAACAAACCTGCAGCAGACTTGTAGCAATGCTGTTCCAACAACTTGTCAACAGGATGTGTTCGCACTGCTTGTTCCCAGCTTGTTGATAAGTTGTCAACGGCTTGTTGGCTGGCAACTCGCTACAAGGTTGTTGAACTCAACAGACTTGTTAAAAGTTATAATACTTTTTGTTTGTGGAAACACCACGTAAATTTATTACTGCAAAGCTTTCGATCCGTAAGAAATATTTACGTGGTGTTTCCACAAACAAAAAGTATTATATGTTTTATCGCCATGCAGACCTCCAAAAAACTTGTTGCAAGTTGTTCCAACTACTTGTTATCGTCCTGCAATTCAACAAGTTGTGGGTGACAACCTTGTAGCAACTCGATGAAATAACAGCATTGTTACAATTTGTTGACAAGCTTGCTACAAACCTGTTGCGAACACATCTTGTTGACAAGTTGTGAGATTTTTACGTGTGTAGGTGCCACCCACTTCGAAACGTCGAAATATTTCAGAACATCAGACACAAACGCTCACGTCATAAATTGCACGTTCTGATTTCTTTAGATGCGTGAAATTCGACATGAAAATCTCAACCCGTTCATCGGAGCATGCATAGAACCAGGCAATATTTGTATCGTCACCAGTTATTGTCCGAAAGGGTGTCTACAGGTATTTTAAAATCTATTTCACATGCAAACATATTCCTGTATGATAGATTTGCGCGTGCACGTCTAGTTACCACTGTTCTGACAATGTAAGCATAGAATGGAACAAAGGTAACCCAGTCATATTTTCAGTTGCCTAGTTACCACTGTTCTGGTAATGAAAGCATAGCATAAAACAAAGATAACTAAGTATTTCAATTATGTATAAGTGAATTGGGTATAGCAAACAGGCATAAAACACGTGTTAGCTGATTACGTGTTTACGTCGACTATCAATCAATTTTCAATATTTCTTTGCAGGATATTTTATTGAACAGAGACGTACGTCTGGACCATATGTTTATTTTATCCTTGGTATATGATATTGCAAAGGTGAGCGAAGAGATGCTCCTTACTGGACCTCTAGGAAGAACAGTTTATATAACTGATAGAGCTATCCAGTATAAATAAAGTTAGTTTAGGTTTCCTCCTGTAGTAACACTGGATCAATAAGAGATATCCTTACTGGAACTCTAGTAGAAAGAACAGTTTAGAACTGATAGAGTTATCCAGTGTAAATAAAGTTAGTTTAGTTTAGGTTTCCTCCTGTAGTGACACTAGATCAATAAGAGATGATCCTTACTGAACCTTTAGGGAGAACAGTGTAGAACTGATAGAGCTATCCAGTATAAATAAAGTTAGTTTAGTTTAGGTTTCCTCCTGTAGTAACATTGGATCAATAAGAGATGACCATTTCTGGACCTCTATACGACGAACACAGCCCAAAGAATGGCCATTTTCAACATATGTGTCTTTGTTTCCAGGGCATGACATTCTTACACAGTACAGATATCAAAGTTCATGGCAATCTCAAGTCTAGTAATTGCCTGGTGGACAGTCGTTGGCAGCTGAAAATCACGGATTATGGTTTACCGACATTTAAATCAAAACAAATCAAGCCGTACAGTTGTGATCATGCTAAGTATAGAGGTATGCCATGATAATCATTTCATAACGCCGACCGCGTACCAAATGCGCGTCGCGATAAACTTGCAGTAGAATCTTAACATGTTGCCAGGATGTCACTAAAGTATAAAGAACTAGGGATAAGGCAATGGGTGACTCCAGCTATAGACGAAATTTTGATCTAGGCAAGAAGAACGAACTTCATTACCATAGCTGGAAAGAGCGTCTTAAGATGAGTAAAATTACAAAGTTTGGTTGCGAAATGTTGTAAAATGAAGAAAATATAGCCCTGTGAAGTTCGCAAATTTTGTATATATTTGTATTACGCGCGGGAAAAATAACCATTTTTGAGCGGAAGTGGTTTTATTTTCTTCATTTTACAACATTTAGCAACCAAACTTTGCATTTTCAGATGCTCTTTCTAGTTGTGGTGTTGGATTTCGTTCTTCTTGCCTAGATCAAAATTCCGTCTATAGCTGGAATCACCCATTGGTTTCCAAACTGCAGTTGACTCGTTTTGAATTATTAAACCAAAATATAGAAAGGTAGATAGACAATTCCTAACACTCAGCATAAAGGCCTACACTATCAATATTTCTGTGATAGTTAGTTAGTTAGTTGGTAGCTTCAGTACTAACTCCCCAAATAAGGGCCTTCGCTCGGAACGTTTGAGATTATTATCTAATTTTTCCTAGACATGTTGTGGAAAGCCCCAGAGCTGTTGCGGATGTCAAACACGAATGGAAAGGGAACACAGGCCGGTGATGTGTACAGCTTTTCCATCATCCTTCAGGAGTTCCACACTAGAAAAGGACCGTACAGTTACAACCACGAGGAGCCCAGACGTATGTATAGAATTTCGTCAAATATTTGAAGATCGTGAATGGAATCACACCATTTAGTTGACCAAAAAACGTGAAAGTGCAAACCGACATATCTGGGTACTACTATTTCTGCTGTAGCAGTGGACCAATAATAGATGACCCTTACTGGACCTCTAGGAAGAACAGTTTAGAACTGATGGAGCTATCCAGTATAAATAAAGTTAGTTCAATTTAGGTTTTCTCCTGTAGTAACACTGGATCAATAAGAGATGACCCTTACTGAACCTCTAGGGAGAACAATTTAGAACTGATAGAGCTATCCAGTATAAATAAACCAGATGATCTTGATACGCGGAAAAGTACTGGCACTAGTTGTCAAATAGAAATCCATTTTATGATTAAAACAACTGAATATCTCCTGTAATATACTTTATTTCGATTCCATATTTTTGTCAGAGCTATAGTTCTCATAACTAAACATAATTACAAAATTTCAACTAGTTTCATAAAGAATAACGAAAGATATAATTGACTGAATACATCAAAATGGATTTCTATTCGGACAACCCTTTCTGAGCGCTGATTTGCTAAAATACGAACACGAGATCACCTGGAAGTTAGTTCAATTTAGGTTTCCTCCTGTAGTAACACTGGATCAATAAGAGATGATCCTTACTGGACCTCTAGGGAGAACAGTTTAGAACTGATAGAGCTATCCAGTATAAATAAAGTTACTTTAGTTTGCTTCTGTAGTAGCCTTGGGGCAATTAAAAATAACCCTGATGAGCTATCCATATACAGATAGTTTAGTTATTGTTCTTTTTGTAGTAAGCTCAGTCGGAGAATAATAGTGACAATTAACGGTTTCTAAACAGCTGTTTTGCCTCCTTACCTTACCGTCCCGTTATCCCAGATTATCAGACGAACTATTCCACTATGTCTTTTCTTGGCCCAGAGAAATCTCTAATACTAAACTACGCTATTATTTCCCCCCAGATATCATAGAACATGTTAAAGCAATAGAGTTTCCACCCTACCGGCCAGTCATCCCAGATCTGATCGAGAGACTTGAAGAACTGCGTGAGATGGCAAAGGAGTGTTGGTCTGATATCCCGCAGGAGAGACCCGTGTTTGCTGAACTCAAGAAACGTATTCATCGTCTGCTCGTTAATTTAAAAATGTAAGTGCAATTGTGGTGAGTAGCGTTTATTGGACCTCTAGGGAGAACAGTTTAGAACTGATAGAGTTATCCAGTATAAATAAAGTTAGTTTAGTTTAGGTTTCCTCCTGTAGTACCACTGCATATGATAAGAGATTACTCTTACTGGACCTCTAGGAAGAACAGTTTAGAACTGATAGAGCTATCCAGTATAAATAAAGTTAGTTTAGTTTAGATTTCCTCCTGTAGTAACACTGCATCTGATATGAGATGACCCTTACTGGACCTCTAGGAAGAACAGTTTAGAACTGATAGAGCTATCCAGTATAAATAATGTTAGTTTAGTTCAAGTTTCCTCCTGTACCTGTAGTAACACTGGATCAATAAGAGATGATCCTTACTGGACCTCTAGGTAGAACAGTTTAGAACTGATAAAATAATAATAAATAAATTTACGTGGTGTTTCCACAAACAAAACTATTATATTTTATCACCATGCAAACATACAAAGAAATTAGTTTAGAACTGATCAGGCAGTTGTGATCTCTCTACACATTCATTGCGTTTACATTAATTGTACAACTTTGCAGGAAGACAAATATTCTGGACAATATGATCTACATGATGGAGAAATACACAGATAACTTGGAGGAGCTGGTGGTGGAGAGAACAGAATTGTTATCTGATGAGAAGAAGAAGACTGATGCCTTGTTGGAACGCATGTTACCAACGTATGTTGCATGTATTTTTGTTACAGCAAAGCAAGAGGGTGCGATAATTTGTAGTCGTACCTGACTGGTACCTCAATGATTGTTGCCGCGTACTTGAACTATTTCAAACTTAAGACTCGATCACTCAAGTGTACTTATAGTCTTAAGTACACACGCAAAAATCTCATATCTTCTAACAAGTCTGCCAACAAGCCGTCAACAAGTTGTGTTCGCACTGCTTGACCCAAGTTGTCAACAAGTTTGAAATAATTTTGATATTATCAGACTTTTGTTTCAAGGTTGTTCCAACAAGTCCGATACAGTCATGATAAAAAATGTTGTTACAACCTTGTGTCGTCAACCTTGTAACATTCTTGTTGTATCATGGCTGTATCAGACCTGTTAGAACAACCTTGTAACAAGTCTGATAATGCCATCAAGCTTGTTACAAGTTGGCAACAAGTTTGAAATAACCTTTTTTGATATTATCAGACTTTTGTTGCAAGGTTGTTCCAACAGGTCCGATCCAGTCATGATATTTAACAAATATAAAACATTTTCCGTGTTGATATACAGTTATATCAACATGAGTGGAATTGGGAAAACGAGAAATTGTATGGAAACACGACGCCCGAAGGGCGGAGTGTTTTCATACAATTTCGAGTTTTCCCAACTTCCACGAGTGTTGATATAACTATATATCAATACGGAAAAATGTTTTATATTTTTTTTATAATATAGCAATGTCAAAAGCCCGAAGGATGAGAAAAATTTCCGTGTTTACGAGCGGCGGAAAATTTCCCGTGTTGACATTGAGTTATATCAACACGGCTCTTAGCCAATCAGCGTTCAGAATTTACAAATGCTATATTATAAAAAATGTTGTTACAACCTTGTGTCGTCAACCTTGTAACATTCTTGTTATATCATGGCTGTATCAGACCTGTTAGAACAACCTTGTAACAAGTGTGATAATGCCATCGAGGGTTAATTTTGTATTTATATTTTGTCTCTTACAGTTCAGTAGCTGAACAGCTAAAGAAGGGAAAAGCTGTAGAGGCAGAATCTTTCAAATGTGTGACGATCTATTTTAGCGATATCGTTTCATTCACTGAACTTTGTGCTGAGAGCACACCATTACAGGTAACACGGTCTCTTACATAAAAATCCCACATATAAGAACCGATAATTTCAGAACCTTTTAGGCTAAATTTCTTCATTTAGATCCCCTTTAAATAAGAACCTGTTTAGGCTAGAATGTCTGTACCAGTGTAGGTAATACCAATGTGAAAATGCTGTGCTGAGTGGTTATATTACTACCTTAAAAAACAAGCAGAAACTTGACGTTTCGAGCGAAGGCCCTTCGTCAAGAGTTAGTAGCCTTGACGAAACCTTGACGTTTGTAACTCTTGACGAAGGGCCTTCGCTCGAAACGTCAAGTTTCTGCTTGTTTTTTAAGGTAGTAATATAACCACTCAGCACAGCATTTTCCTATTTTATCAAATAGAGTCAAAACTAAAAAAATTATAAATCAAAGAAAATAAGCTCTTCGCTGAAATGAAATGAAAATGGCCCAGAACCCTGGAAACGTCATTGAGATAAATAACAAGTCTATATGAACACAACAACAAATAATTGTATTTCTTCAGTGAAAATACTACATGACAATCTCAACTGCTAGTGACTGTAAGCAATCTTTTCCAGCATCGTGGACTGTTAGATAATTTGTGCATAATTTATATAAATTATATACTACACCTACTGGAAATGAGTCGCTTTTTTCTTAGAAAATAAGAACTTATTTAGCCCAATTTCCTGGTAATAATATATTTACACAAGAACCTGTTTAGGCTAACTTGGGAAAATCTAGGTTCTTATATGCGGGGTTTACTGTATATGAAAACGATACAATAGCCAAGAATGAAACATATATTTACTTCTTGTGCTAATATCAATCTTTTGTATATTTTCTGATCGTTTGTGTTGTTACACTTTTAGGTTGTAACACTGCTCAATGATTTATACACGTTGTTCGACGAAATCATCCGGGAATTTGATGTTTATAAAGTACGTTTTAAATTTGTAAACAAAATTGGTTTGGTAAACACAATTTTGAGTGAGTAAAAGGTTGGGTAAATGAAAAACAAAACAACTCAAGGGTTGGGTAATAAAAATTTATTGTCATTTCCAAAGCATGATTCACTCAAATATTGAAGACTAAAAAGCAATGTCAACAGTCATATGTCAGTACAACATGTAAATCAATCAGAGTCACCATCTTGATCATTTTCCGATTTGTCAGGAGACAAATGGTGTCTCCAAAGAAAGTACATGTGCAGACAACATGAAACTTTAGACTGCAGGAAATTGCACAAGCAGTTATCAAACTCGTGTCACAGAAGTGGTAAAGGACATGTGTGACAACTGAATGGTATCCTTTTGTAAAATGTTTAGCCAGGGGTGGGTGTTTATTTTTAGTTGATATTTGAAGTTGAGTAAAAAATGTTTTTAAATTTTTAATGGTTCCATCAGCAAAATTTTTACCATAAATAATGACCGATCTATAATGTACAGTCAAATTGAGGATCTGATGAACATTGAACACTTTTTCAGTTCTTGACTTCACTAAATTTTGCTTTCTCAAACAGGTTGAAACTATAGGCGATGCGTATATGGTTGTCTCTGGGCTTCCTCAGAGAAACGACAATCTTCACGCGTCAGAAATATCCTGTATGGCGATACGTATCAGAGATTCTGTGCTGGACTTCAAAATTCGACACAAGCCGAATCATAGGTTAAAATTACGAATTGGTATTCACTCTGGTCCTGTGGTGGCTGGCGTCGTAGGTCGTACCATGCCTAGATATTGCTTATTTGGTGATACTGTGAATACTGCTTCGAGATTGGAGTCCTCCGGAGAAGGTATGCGTCATTCGTATCCACGTTTATAAAAAAAAAACATAATTGGCTCTGTATAACTATAAGGGTTCCTTTCCAACAATCAACTCGGAATCTCGCTATGACAGCATGCCTGTCCTTTCCTAGTCCTTTTATCATAATCTAACTAAGAGAACAGTTTAGGACTGATAGAGCTATCCAGTATAAATAAAGTTAGTTTAGTTTACGTTTCCTCATGTAGTGACACTGGATCAATAAAAGATTATCCTTACTGGAACTCTAGGGAGAACAGTTTAGAACTGATAGAGCTATCCAGTATAAATAAAGTTAGTTTAGTTTAGGTTTCCTCCTGTAGTAACACTGGATCAATAAGAGATGATCCTTACTGGACCTTTAGGAAGAACAGTTTAGAACTGATATATAGAGCTATCCAGTATGAATAAAGTTAGTTTAGTTTAGGTTCCCCCCTGTAGTAACACTGGATCAATAAGAGATGATCCTTACTGGACCTTTAGGAAGAACAGTTTAGAACTATCCAGTATAAATAAAGTTAGTTTAGTTTATGTTTCCTTACTGACCTCTTTAGGGAGAACAAATGATAGACCTAATCGATCATATGATCGAAGCCGTACTAAAACATATCTCATTCAATCTCGCCTGTTTTCCATTCCTCGACATAGCATGGTCTATTTTCAAGTAATTATTTCTACTTTATTCCTCCTAGCTCTGAGTATTCACATCAGTAATACCACAAACGAAATTTTGGAGAAACTCGGTGGTTTCCAAACTGAAGAACGAGGAGAAATTACAGTCAAGGTATAATGTCTGCCTTTCATGCCCATTCTTTATTCAACTAGTATTGTATAGAATTATAGATAGATAGATGATTCGTCATCAGAATGTTGTCACCATGTTCCTACGTCGCCATTTTGAATCACGTCCGCCATTTTGAATATTTTTAGCTGGGCGATTTCCTCTCATGGAACACGGCGACAGCATTGCAACTGTTACGCCAAAATCGTAGGCAAAACCAAGAAGTCAGTCTTATGTAAAGTTTCTATTCTGTGTTAATTCAGGGCTCAAAATAGCGGCCGGACAACGGACAATGGCCGGCCAAACATGCCTCTTGAGCGGCCACATTTTCATGCCTTCCAATGTGATCGCTGACATCTTGAATTAAAACATGAAACTATGGTGTATCGCAACAAGTTTCTAATAGTTTGTTTCACTGTTAGTGTAAGCGTATCAATGACCGGTCAAAAACAGACTTTGACCGAGCCAGAATCAAGTTGATTGGAGACCTCCCGTTACTTTGAGCCCTGGTTATAGTAGACCTATTAAAACACCTCTCGCACTTATTTTTAGGGTAAAGGATCATTGGTGACCTACTGGTTGTTAGCAGCGAACAGCGATGTTCCTCGTTCACCGCACAGAGAAGCGATCCTGCAAGATCTTCAACTTGCCAGACCTATTGGCCCGCATTTAAGAGATGGAATACTCCATCACTCCAATATGTCCTTGCGGGGGGGATCGATACGGGGGGGATCGTATCGGAATTCGCCCGCGATCCTGAGGAACGGTGGAGGTCACGTGGCTCATGAATCTCCCGTGATGATTCGCTGGAAAAAGGCGGACGATGAACTACTAATGAATGGTATACACACCTAATCGCAGGATACACGCGTAAAATACCCAAATTATTACAGGCCCGCAGTATGCTTGCTTCAAGGTTGTTTTGCACTAAACTGGCACAGAGAATAGCTAATACTAAATAGGCATTGTTCTTATCTGACTGACTGTCCATTCTTAGCTGCCAGCGACGGTAGCAGCATTGTTACAACTTGTTGTCAAGCTTGCTTCAAGCCTGTCGCCAAGATGTTTATTTGCGCGTGTATCCAAGCCAAATTGTAAATATATGTATAATCTACGTTTATCTGTATTCAAAGCGAAATCTTTTAGGGGGAATCGGATTGTCGAGTTCTTGTCGGCAGTATTCGTGAAATAAGGAATGAATACTTGTTTCCACAGCAGCCAGGATCCGTACAAAACTTTGAAAGTCCTTGAATGTCCTTGAATTTGAAAACAAAAATTCTGGGCCTTGAATTTGTAAAGAAGTACTTGAAAATACTTGAATTCTTCTTGCTTTAGTTTATAGACGTTTTCTGAAATTGTTTGACATTCAAAAACGAACATCTTGTTGAACTGATTTTGCATGTTCAATGTTCATATCTGACAAAGCTGTTTGAAATTCATTAAGGTTGCGTTTTGAACAATAGGTGGTTTCAGTAAGCACTCTCGTGCAACAGATGGTCCTCAAGCTGCAGTTATCAGAGTGAGAAAATAATTATACATGTATAGTACACACGTAAAAACGCACAAGTTGTAACAAACCTGCAGCAGACTTAAGTAGCAATGCTGTTCCAACAACTTGTCAACAGGATGTGTTCGCACTGCTTGTTCCCAGCTTGTTGACAACTTGCTACAAGGTTGTTGAGCTCAACAGACTTGTTACAAGTTGTCCAACTTGTTATCGTCCTGCAATAGAACAATTTTGTCAACAAGTTGTGAGTGACAGCCTTGTAGCAACTTGATAAAATAACAACATCGTTACAACTTGCTGACAAGCTTGCTACAAGCCTGTTGCGAACACATCTTGTTGACAAGTTGTGAGATTTTTACGTGTGTAGTCTTTTGTCTGAAAACTATGAAATAGAATTAGGAGATATCGATGTAGGCAATTTTGTTGCTATAACTCACTTGATTTCTGGAGTTCACTGCCATCTGCTGGCCAGTTATGCTTTCTGAAAACCCACCAATTGACAAATTTTTTTAAAAATGACGAAAACCATTTTTGGTCATGTTATATTTAGCGAAATATCGGGCACTTCTCGAAGTATTGGGGCTGCAAGTTTAGCTTAGGACAATTTGTATTCTCCCCTCTGTCGCTGAAATTTCAGTCTTCTGAACTTTATCTTTAGAAATGAATTAGTAAATTTAGTTAGCTGATCAGTACTCACACGCTTCAACCAAACTCGCACGTGATTGGCTAGGTTTCCTTAGCAACGGCGAACAAACCATGACGTGATAAAATTCAGTACTCATTAGATGCAATACGTGTATTATCACTGTAAAGCCCGCGGAGAACTCAACGTCGTTCACCGGCCCTTTTTTGGGACAAACCTGGAAAAATTGTTTCCTAGCCATGTTTCCCAAAGGTGGACAAACCAGGAAACATTGTCTCCTAGCCATATTTCCCGAAGATTCGGAAACATTTATCCCCCCAAGGGTGAGCAAAAGGTAATTCCACATTTGCAGAAACATCTAAATATTTTTTCCCAGGGCTTAAAATTCATTGAGATATGGTTTGGTTGAATCGTGTATAGAAATAGTTTATGTATTTTATTTGTAATATATATAATCAAGGGTAGCGCACTGACTTTTGTACAGAATTGCACTATATAAATAGTAGAAGTCAAATTGTACTGTAATTTTTTAATTGCACAATATAATAATAGCATTGTAGTCCAGAAGACACTCAGATATAATCAATTCACAATTTTTAGAGAACTCACATGCCTAGTTACTATTGCTCTACGCACGTAAAAATCTCACAACTTGTCAACAAGATGTGTTCGCAACAGGCTTGTAGCAAGCTTGTCAACAAGTTATAACCACGCTGTTATTTTATCAAGTTGCTACAAGGTTGTCACTCACAACTTGTTGACAAATTGATGAATTGCAGAACGATAACAAGTTTGTTGGAACAACTTGTAACAAGTCTGTTGAGCTCAACAACATTGTAGCAACTTGTCAACAAGATGTGTTCGCAACAGGCTTGTAGCAAGCTTGTCAACAAGTTGGAACAATACTGCTATTTTATCAAGTTGCTACAAGGTTGTCACTCACAACTTGTTGACAAATTGTTGAATTGCAGGACGATAACAAGTTATTGGAACAACTTGTGACAAGTCTGTTGAGCTCAAAACCTAATTGTAGCAAGTTGTCAAAAAGACGTTGACAACTTGTCAACAAGCTGGGAACAAGCAGTGCGAACACATCCTGTTGACAAGTTGTTGGAACAGCATTGCTACAAGTCTGCTGCAGGTTTGTTACAACTTGTGCGTTTTTACGTGTATAGTTGACGAAAGCATAGAACAAAGGTGACATAGAACAAAGGTGACTTAGCAAGACCCACTTATTGCGGAAGACCTTGTGAATTTTTATAAATAATTTATTAATGCCTTTGTGAACTAGCCAATCCCTGACTAGAAATAGCGGCTCCAACTAAAATCAAATTGATTCAACAGTCTCAGAGCTCAGCCGATTACGTCAGGACCCTGGACGCTGATGATCCATGATTGGTCATTTTATGAGCAGTCAAATGATTTGTAGATGTCTGTTTGGTCAGTGTTGTGGCCAATCAAAAGACTTGTATAAGACGCTGGTGTTTCCTGATTGGTCTGTTACTCAGTTTTGTGGCCAATTAAAAGCCTTGTAGATGTCTCGTTTCGTTTTCAAGCCTCGCATATTCGTGCCAAATATTTCGAGTTTCCTTGCTTGACCGTGTCGCCAGCCAATTTCTTTTTGCGTTGTTTCAGGATGCGACCTACGGCCCATAGTTTCTCTTGCTCTGCGTAAATTTTGTGCTTTCTGGACGGATGCGCATGTCGTGGTTTTGTTTCTGCAATAGGAGTACAGCTAAACGAAAGAAAAGAGAAAGATAGGGAGAATAGCACAGTGGTTTATGTACTGTTTAAAACACGCGAGCAGGTGTGCTTTATCAGATATGGAACACGAGGCAACAACCTAGTGTCTTCTACATGCCATGCGGAAAAAACGCACAAGTTGTTACAAATCTGTTCACAAGCTGTCAACAAGTTGTGTTCGCACTGCTTATTCCCAGTTGTAACAAGTTTGGAACAAGCTGTTAACAACTTGTAACAAGCTTGATGGCATTATCAGACTTGTTACAAGGTTGTTCTAACAAGTCTGATACAATTTTTTCTGTGCTAGTCTGATACAGTCATGATATAAGAAGAATGTTACAAGGTTGTAACAATATTGTTGTATCATGACTGTATCGGACTTGTTGGAACAACCTTGCAACAAGTCTGATAATATCAACAAGGTTGTTACAAGTTGTTAACAGCGCGTTCCAAACTTGTTGACAACTTGGGACAAGCAGTGCGAACACAACTGACTTGTTGACCGCTTGTTGGCAGACTTCCTACAAGATGTGAGATTTTTGCGTGTGTAGCTCATAAAGCACGGAGTGCGAGTGTTTTAAATGGCTTAAAAATTACCCATCTTATGAGTTCATTTGTGAAATATAATTGTAGTAAAAATCAAAGCTGTCTAATCAAAACTAAAGTTCATGTAAATGAACATGATTTTTTTATCACATGCATATAAAACCACTGACATGCACGGCAGTGATTTCCTTTGTCTAATTTCCTCATGAATTATTAATGAGTTTTATTTAATAAGGTGGCTAAAGTATTTCAAGTTTGAGTGACCAAACACCGTGCTCCTTAACGTTCCAAATTCTTTGATGAGAAGGTTATATCTCTCGGATCAGAATACAAGTTCTGAAATTAAACTCGATGGAAACGCCATATATATCTCGATAGCTGTGTTTTTATTCATGCAAAAATATATGATCATTCATAACACTAAATAAACCAGTTTCAAGTCGTATCCCACCAACCGTTGGGACTTTTGTCCTGTTTTCATTCCCTGCCACAAACTGTAATATGTTTCGTATGTAATCTGTGGTAAATCTATTAAACTAAACTAAACTAACCGTCTTATATTCGTCATAAAGGTATTGCCTGCAGCTGTCGTAGTTCCTTCTCTCTATGCTTTCTTTCCGTACGCGATCTTTCCTGTGAAAAAAATATTACACACGTAAAAATCTCAAATCTTGTAGCAAGTCTGCCAACAAGCCGTCAACAAGTTGTGCTCGCACTGCTTGTCCCAAGTTGTCAACAAGTATGGAACAATTGTTAACAGCTGTAACAACCTTGTTGATATTATCAGACTTGTTGCAAGGTTGTTCCAACAAGTCCGATACAGTCATGATATAACAATATTGTTACAACCTTGTGTCGTCAAAATTGTAACATTCTTGTTATATCATGCCTGTATCAGACTTGTTAGAACAATCTTGTAATAAGTCCGATTGCATTAAGCTTGTTACAAGTTGTTAACAGCTTGTTACAAACTTGTTACAACAACTAGGAACAAGCAGTGCGAACACAACTTGTCGACAGCTTGCGAACAGATTTGTAACAACTTGTTTGCAGACCTGTAACAACTTGTGCGTTTTTACGTGTGTAATACATAATACAAACAAAAAATTCCCAGAACTCGTCAGACTGCAGATAATTCTCCAATGCAAAACACAAAGTAAAATACAGCTCAAAATGTCTCTGTCTTACCATATTTAATTTTCTGAGACTGTGTTGACCCAGTGTTCTGCGCCGCGCTGTAAAAACATTATTTCGTCTCTACAAAGTGGTTAAGATCTTTGCTCATAGTGCGTCGCGCGTACTGGATGACGTCACAATTTTAATTGCAGTCAGTTGATTAGGAGCGTCCTCGTTATTCTAATTTATTTCGATTTCCTTGTTCTCTCCGCAATTTTCCCTGAGAACAAACTCACCCTGCATGCTCAGTTCTTAAATGTTCTTCCTAGAGGTCCCATGCCAACCTAAACTAAACTAACTTTATTTATACTGGTACCTATCAGTTCTAAACTGTTCTCCCTTGAGGTCCAGTAAGGATCATCTCTTATTGATCCAGTCTTACTACAGGAGGAAACCTAAACTGAAGTGAAGTACTGAACTAACTTTATTTATATTGGATAACTCTATCAGTTCTAAACTATTCTTCCCAGAGGTCCAGTAAATGTCATCTCTTATTGATCCAGTGTTACTTAGCTAACACTGGTTTGCTATTCTTCAAATGCTGTTACCATCATTTGCATGCGCTTTTGGTAATTCGACAAACAACACAGAGCCACCTTAAATGTTTTTCAGGGCATAAGATGATAATTTTATAAATATTTAAATAACTAAATAAACAAACGATTTGTTTATTTACTAAAATAAACAAATAGTTACTAAAAAATTAATTAAAAGCTAAACATGTAAAAACGAAACTACACAGGAAAATACATGAAGTATAACGGTATAGGCTTTGTTTGCAAAATATTTCCTACTCCCCCTGATTTTAATAATTGATTAATGAAATACAGGGGGTGCAATGCGCATGAAAAAGTTTATAAAAATCTCCCCCCGGGTATCAATAAAGTTCTAATATAAACCCGGGGGGACGGTACACCAGGACTAAATTTCGCAGCGTCACGAAAAATATTGCAAGTTTTGAAAAACAGCGCCAGAGATGTCGTGATTTTTTGAAGACTCAACAGCTGTGATTAAATTTTGTACAATCAGTTAAATTTTGTACAAAAACGGCTTTTTAAGCCACGATTTTGAAGGAAGCACAATAATGGAAAAGCCTAAACCAAGTAGTTTATATACGAACGAAGACGTTTCAGCGTGGAAAACGGCGCTCGAATCGTACAATGATGTGCTCAAGTTGAAAGCAAGCAAAGAAAGTAGCAAGACTAAAAAAGACCGAGACCTCGTTGCACTGGACAAATGGTAAATATTTTTAAAACATAACCGAGGTTTTTGAGGATTGAATTGGTGATCGGGCATTGGGCAGTTTTGGAAATGTTTTAGACTGAAGATAAATTTGTTAGAGGAATTCACAAATCTGTGTCTGCCTCGGTTGTTTGCAAATACAATCAAATGGCCACTTTGAGCCTTCCGCACACACAAGAGAAACTTGCTGAGCTGTATGGCGGCAAACTCGGCATGTTTCTCTTGTGTGCGGATGATTTTCGTGAGAATTTAACCTCTTGAGGAAAATATCAGTTATCTATCATGTTGGATATTTTTAACCTTGTGAGGAAAAAATTGCAACATGTGCGGATGTTGCATGTTCGATGCTGAGTTGACTTTGTCACCAAATAGATTTTGTCAGATTCCCCCCCCCCCCCCATATTCTTAGACCAGTCAATGTCTTTTCATCAAGTACAAGAAAGTCCAGAGGCGTAGCCACGGGGGGAAATGTGTGGTCCGAACCGCACTTTTTTTCAGATACCAAATTTCTGGCTTTTAGGTTATTGTAAAACATGTCTAAAATGTATGAAATAGCATTTTGTAGACCCTAAAGATAGAGAAATTGGGAAGTGTCACACAGCCAGCGAGGACAATTATACTTACCACTTGTATGGGGATAGCTACGCCCTGAGAAAGTCTGTCTTTAGTAAGTTATTTTGTAACCACATATTCATTTCCACTTGGCTTGATTGCACATACTTAGTAAAATTATAAGTAAGTTACGGCGCTCTCTGACAGAGGATTTGGCAATATTGCCACCCTCCTTGACACAAATGCAAGGGCAATGCCATTAGTATGATTTGATCAAGAATGGAATATATTTTACCACAGGTATCAAGATGAGTTGCCAAAGAACTTAAATAGTCGAGAGAAAAAATATCTCAATTTAGAAGAACTTTGCCAGCTAATGAAGTGGAAACTCACTGTAAGTATGCGATATACAATTGGACAAATTTGCTTTGTGTTCAAAAACTGTTTTTCTCTAACAGCAATTAAAGTAACATACAGTTACATTTTCTCAATTTGTAGTCGTACACAGGGGCGGATCTAGGATTTTTCGTACCTCAGTCAAAAATTTTTGGCGGACGGGCCGTTGTCAGCGCGAGGCGTTGCCAGCGCTGGGCGTGGTCTCGACTGGGCGTGAAAAACGTATTTAGATTAAATTTAAATTGATAAACTCAAACGAACATTTGATTCTTATCCATTGTAAGAAAAACTACAAATGCACAAAGATATATTGATCCTATTCCAATACAAAATTTTATGGATATATTACTATGATATAGTACATTAAAACTCAGCTGCAATTTAATAACATGTTTGCCTGTGGATTAATCAATCGTCGTCATATTCATACTATATACCTATAAGTGTATCATTGTAAAAGTTGTAAAATCATATGGCAGCAAATGCATTAAGGAAATATACTGTTCTGTTACCAAAAACGCAGAACTATACAAATAATTGCTAGTAGCCTCAGATCCAAAAAAAACAACCAGATATTCATTAACTAAGTCAAACACTATTACATTAACAAGATATAAAGATGTTATGTCAAATATTAATAAACTAGTTACATGAGAATGGCTACCAGTCAATGAGCTTTTCAAGCTAGCTTATTATATATTTCACATCATCATGTTACACCAGACCAATGCGGTCTAACAAGCCGTGTCGATAGGCTATGGACAAACAGTATTCTATAAGGCCGACATGTTGTGTGATCGATGCATAAATATAAATAAATCTTAAATAAAACTACACTATAAACACGAGAATCAACAAATGCTTACAATGTGGACATTGAATAAAACATATTTTAGCTTCTTGACGCGAGAATTATGCTAATACAGCATAGCGAATATTAAAATATCATATGTCAAACAATCATTAACAACACCGACGGCTTTGGTTCTTCGGTTTAATTAATATAAACTAAAGATACATCATTATAAAACCATAAATTTCTCTACCTTATTGCAGTGCAAGCTTTGTCTTTCTTATCTCGAACATACTTCGGAATGTAGCTCTCTGCGCCAAAATTTCTAGCGAGGCTTCTGCTTGTGTTGTTGATGGCGCTCACTTTGCCGTTCAGTAGCTCGTCAACAGAATTTGTCCGTGAAGCATCGATATTCTTTCAAGCTCCGTATACAAACGTTGTAGAGATTCTAAATCGTTTGCCGCAATCGCAAACTGAATATTGTCGAAAATGTTTCCAGATATCGCTGGCAGAGATCGCTCGTAAAAATATAATAGTAAAATTTCTCACATGCCAGACGTTCGAAATAGTAAACATTCAGGAGGTATAAAACACCAAATGCCGTGTTGACGAATACCCCACGCTGCGAATCCGTCGAAAATATAAGCCAATGACAGTGCAGAATATTTTTAAATGGTTCAATCAGAAGACTCATACAGAGCCCCTGAATCTGCAAATCCGTCAGGCCTCCCCACAGATCCGTCGCAAATGGCGTAACCATGGAAATGAGCGCGTCAGCCAATCAGATAGCCGGATTCAACCCCCGAATCCGTCAACATTCATGCGTAAGACCGCTGTTCGTGACTGACTAACATTACTTTGCCGAAGCTCTGCCGCAGCATGAAACGTATAACTGGACTACGATTCAAAATTTTAATAACTCGATCTACTGGCCGCTATAGATAGCTGGAGTCGAATTTTTTTAATTAAGTAGGCAATTTTTACTTAGTCGCGCGACTGACTTGACGACCCCTAGATCCGCCCCTGGTCGTACATCATGAAAACAGTTTTACATTGTGTTTAAATCATTGAGTGGCAGCACTCTCCTCTCAAAGAGCAAATCATCTGGCATTAGACAGAGTAAAATAATAAAGTAGGGCACATTGAGGTGCAATGCAACTCAATGAGTTAACCCATTGAGTGGCAGCACTCTCCTCCTGATGAGTAAAATCATCTGGAGTTAGACAGAGTAAAATGATAATGTACGGCACATCTGGGTGCATTGCCACTTAAAGGGTTAATATAGCTACTTGCAAGAAAAATTGGGTACCAGATAACTGTAATTGAGAGGATATGTCATGCAGCCTAAAATGTATATTTGTCTGTTTTTAGTACGCAAAACAATGTCAGGTGACTTCAAAAGTTTCAATTTATAGCTCAGCTGTTGCTAGGCCAACTTAAGAAACACGATATCCTTAATTCTGGTCTCAATGTCGCAGGCTAACTGAAATTCCCGAATTTTTTAATCTTTTAATTTTAATTTTTTAATCTCTTTGTGGAACTTTGGTGTTTGCACATTCTGCAAATATGCCACCTTTAAAATTACCAAAGATTAGTTAAGTCGTTATTAATGGTGTCAACTCATTCCTGTAGCGAGGAAAGTTTCGACCAAGATTATCAGATCTTGTGAAGGCAAACAATGAAACGACAGTTGAAGACACAAGCCGTAAAGCATTTGGATATCTACCCGACGTTTCAGCTGCCATACGTGAACTGTCAAAATTGAAGGCTGTTGGTCCAGCCACCGCTTCAGGTAAGTGCAAATCAGGAGATGCAGGGATATAATAGTCAGGATGCGATAATTCACATACTTATCACACCGTGGTCTACTAGAGGCCTAACCATAGACCAGGCCTAGAAATTATATTTCTCTTCCTTGGCAGCGAAAAATAAAAATTTCCTGGGACCTAAAAAAAATACCTGTGGTTACGGTTTCATATAGCAAAAAAATTAGGGTCAGTAGGTCGGAAAGAACATTTTTTAAAATATTTTTTCATGTTTTTTTCAATAATTAGTGTGACAACACAACAGACGCCATTTTGGCAGCAGCCCGCAACCACCCGGAGAAAATAGGGTCGCACAGTCAATTGCGTTGAAAAAATAATAGGGTCGGCAGAAAAAAATAGGGACGGTCGGGAACCGGAACCACATGTCAGGTATTTTTTTAGGCCTGGGTAATAAAGTCGTATATAAAACTTCCTGCATATGTACCGGGTGGTGTAAAAAAATGTTCCCCTCTTTGACTTATTGTGATTAAAAAACTAAGGAAGCCATCTTATTCAAAGAAAGTTTAGTGAAGGCAGTAATGTCTAACTTAAATTTTGATGTATACCTTGGTAACCTTGAACATTTCTATAGAAAATCAGCCGACATATAGGCGTTTAAACTCAAGGTAGCAATTTTGGAAGAAGCGAAAAATGGCCATTTTATTACCATAATGTAAATTAATAGACCATTTTTCGCGTCTTCCAAAAACGCTACCTCAAGTGTACACGCCTATATCTCGGCTAATATTTTATAGAAATGCGCAAAGCATCCATCAAAATTTAAGTTAGACATTAACTACGTTCAATAAATTTTATTTGTATAAGATAGATTTTTCAGTTTTCTACTAGCTTACAATGAGTCAAGGGGTACCTGACGCCATACGTTCTCTGAAATCTATCTACGCCTTTGCGCCACCTGACGTCATAAGTTCTCTGAAATCTACCTTTACCAATGAAATCTACCAACGGTACAGATTTCAGAGAACGTATATGGCGCCGCACTTTGTGACAAAAATTTCATGCAAGATGTAAGGAAATTTCTGCAAAGATATTTTGTTAAAAGTTTCTGCCGGACATTTAATAATAATAATAATATTTAATATTTATATTGCGCAAATTAACATGTTATAGTATATGATCAAATGCGCAATTTGAAGTCCGGCAGTGCTAAAGACCTACGTTTTTTATAGTCTCGCTTCTGTTCTCCATTAATTTTGTTTTTCTAGCCATTCTTTCAGCGGGCGCGCCAGACCTCGTACCTTTCATGGCGGACGAGGCGATGATGGCGATACCTGATTTAGGAGAAATTAGTTATCATTTACCGTTTTACATGAGCTTCGTGGAGAAAATTAAGAAAGTTTTGCAACAGCTTAAGAAGAAAGGTGAGGCAATGAATATATCTAGGCAGGATTTTTGGGTTTCCACCATTGAAGCCAACTTAAATTATTTCCCGTTAATTTTTACAATTTTGCAACTTCGCAAGCCAGAGTCTTCACAATTTTGTTCATATTTCTTAGCTTTGGGAATTAATAGGTTATAAGTTATGCTAATTCTTAGCATTGTCAAAAATTCTTGTTGGACTTAAAACAATAATATCTCAGTTAATATTGCATGGAAACATTATTCTAATCTATCAAAATTTAAGTTAGCCCTTTCTGGGTACCATAAAATTGATTTGATCGTGATAGCTGTTCTATTTTTGTTGCTGTAGTTAATCAAACCATAGCCTATCGAAGGGAAGATGGCTGTGAAACTCTTTAGAATAACAATATAACTCATTATCTACGTTAGTCAACGTTTATTCATAAATCTGGTCCTTCACCGTCACGTGTGTATTGTATTTTTGCCCCACTAACCAATAGCAATGTTTTAGGAAAGTTACTTATCCGTGACTCGAACAACTCGAACAATAGGGTAAATTGATAAATAATAAATTGATAAATAGTAAAAATACATAGATAATGAGTTATTCTAATGAATTTTTCTGTGTTTGTGTTGTGTACTCAGGTGAATATGATGTTTATGATGTTACTCTGAATGTATGTCCACACCGCGGGCAAGCTTGAAAAATATGCCTGGCCACGGTGGGAATCGAACCTACGGCTACAACCTTTCTAGCCCAATGCTCTGCCAACTGAGCTACGCGGTCAGGTCGGCTCGAGTATGTGATATTTCGGAACTGAGTCTAGTTCCTTCGATATCAATGCAATCTAGTCATACCAACACAGAAAAATTCATATTACTAGATTGCATTGATATCGAAGGAACTAGACTCAGTTCCGAAATATCACATACTCGAACCGACCTGACCGCGTAGCTCAGTTGGCAGAGCATTGGGCTAGTATTCCAAAGGTCGTAGGTTCGATTCCCACCGTGGCCAGGCATATTTTTCAAGCTTGCCCGGTGTGGATATACACTCAGAGTAACATCACAAACATCATTATTCTAATGAGTTTCACAGCCATCTTTCCTTCGCCGGATAGGCTATGACCAAACAGTGTTTAGTTTTTTTGGAGACACCCATTACAGGTCCATTCACGACACATCATGCATTAGCCGTAGTAAAATACACATTCTAGTTTAATAAATGATAAATGCAGTATATTGTTATGTGAATTTGTTACCTAAACATTTTCTCTAGATCCCGAAGGTGATTGGACGGCTCACAAGGTTGAACTGGCACTGTGGACCGAAGTGATGGCACGAAAATATAATTTCGATCTTTCACAAGAGCCCCACGTGAACGGTTGTGAAAATGGTGTTGGTGGCGAAAAAAGGAAAGCCGAAGAAGCGCCCAAGGCAAAGAAGCGAGCGAAGAAAAAATGAAAGAACTAAGACGAACACAGGCCTTTTCGTGTATACTGTCTAAGCCACAGAAGTAGAAAGTGATACAGAGGTCCGACTCGGTCCAAAATCCACAACCTCCACTGATCTACACGCTTAAAATTCTCACATCTTGTACCACGTCTGCCAACAAGCCGTCAACAAATTGTATTCGCACTGCTTGACCCAAGTTGTCAACAAATTTGGAACAAGTTGTTAACAACCTTGTTGATATTATCAGACTTGTTGCAAGGTTGTTCCAACAAGTCCGATACAGTCATGAGACAATATTGTTACAACCTTGTGTCGTCAACCGTATAACATTCTTGTTATATCATGACTGTATCAGACTTGTTAGAACAACCTTGTAACAAGTCTGATAATGCCATCAAGCTTGTTACAAGAAGTTAACAGCTTGTTCCAAACTTGTTACAACAACTGGGAACAAGCAGTGCGAACACAACTTGTCAACAGCTTGTGAACAGACCTGTAACAACTTGTGTGTTTTTATGTGTGTAATCGCAATACAGTCCCCCCTGAACATCTAAGCCAAGCCAAGTGCGTTTATACGTTGTGATTTGTCAGGCTGATTTTAGGTTCTGCATGTGAATTGCTGATGTTGTTGTTTATATGTTATTTTTTGAAATATTAGTTTCAATCTAAAATTGACCAGACTAATAGACGCAATGTGTAAACGTGGCATAATTTAAGCAATAAATGGCTGATAGACAAGAACATTTTCATGTACAAAAGGACTCAAAACTATATTACAAAAACTTTGTTTCGTACCAGGTATAATTGAGTGAACAGTTAGTATTTAATGAGCGGTACCTAGACCTAACCGTCCAACCAATTATTGAAGCCCCAAAAACTCACATTGTTAAACAGACCTCGTGGTTGTGTTAATATAATTTATAAGTAATATAATCAATGGAATGTAAAATGTCCACATTTACAGCTAATTCAAAAAAGGTCCTTTGTAAACCTTAAACTCTAAGCTTGCAAAGCATAATGGGGCATCATGTAATGAATTTAGTGAATCATATATGGGGCCCAATTCTTGGAAACATGGCAAATATCTCCTTACGAGAACAATCATTCACAAATAGCTGCAATAGTCAACTATACTAAGCCTGAAACTTGTGCTCCCATTACCGTAAGCTTTGCGCGCTTAGAGTTTAAGGTTTGCAAATGACAACCTTTCTTGAATTAGCTGTGTATATACCTACACAAATTTAATGTTCGTATGTATTTTTGTATTTAATATATAGCCTGTATAAATACATTTGTTAATAAAACTTTCATATCAGTTGAATTTGGTTTCGTGTCGAACCCAAAATAGTCGCAAATAGAGCAAAGGAATTTGAACGAAAAGCATTCGAATTTATTGTTTTGAGATGGATTACGGCAAAAGTGACTTTTCGTGTTACGACAGAATAAAGGAATGTTTATACAATTACAACGCAATATAATGGCAATATACAAGATATACAGTATATATACATACAAGATTTTTATAATTGTTAAAACCCTCTTGAACGTATTTACAATGGAAATGGTCCTTATTTACAAATTTCTACCAATTATGATGATTTAACAACGTCACATCTCGGAAACTCTCTATTTTGCCCCTCCCCGGTACAACAAGCCGCACCCCATTTTTCCGGAGGATGCAATGTAAGTATTTGCTATTCCTCTACAAAGTGCCCCATCCTCCACTTTACAAAAGAGAAAAGCCTTTCACGTTGGTGTGCAGCGTTTCGTCTAAATCAGTAAGCCCCCCCCCCCCACCCACCGTTTAAGCACTCTCACGTCAATACAGGGTGTATCAAAACATGTACACCCTTTCAAATTAACCGTAACCTATCGTAGTAATTTGACAGCCGTATGATTTCTCGAATTAATGAATGCGTGAAAACACAAGGTCTTCTGCACATGGGAATTTAGGATAACTTCTTTTTGTCTGAACAAATACACAACTCACAGAAAAATTTGAAAGGGTGTACACTTTTTTGATAGACCCTGTAGAAGATTTGCGGTAACTCGTTATTAACACGGCCGTACGCAGGATTTTTTCACCAGGGTGGGGGGGGGGGGCAGTAAGGCCCATATGCCGAAAAAAGTCCCAAATATCAAAAAAATAATTAATTATGACATCACCCTTTTATTGTAGACACCCAAACTTCATTGTAATCGTACGAGCACATTAAAACTGAACGATAGATTAAAGGAAAGTTTCTACAATTACAAGTCCAATAATCAACCGATAATATACTTCAAATATAAGTTTTGGTTCGTGAAAAGATTACGTAAAAACGCACAAGTTGTTACAGGTCTGCAAACAAGTTGTTACAAATCTGTTCACAAGCTGTTGACAAGTTGTGTTCGCACTGCTTGTTCCCAGTTGTTGTAACAAGTTTGGAACAAGCTGTTAACAACTTGTAACAAGCTTGATGGCTTTATCAGACTTGTTACAAGGTTGTTCCAACAAATCTGATACAGTCATGATATAACAAGAATGTTACAAGATCGACAACACAAGGTTGTAACAATATTGTACTGTATCAGACTTGATGGAACAACCTTGCAACAAGTCTGATAATATCACAAGGTTGTTACAAACTTGTTGACAACTTGGGACAAGCAGTGCGAACACAACTTGTTGGCAGACTTGCTACAAGATGTGAGATTTTTGCGTGTGTATACTTACTACTTTCTCCAAGCAAACAACAAAGAACTTTTAAAATATACTTCAAAGTTAAATCTTTAAATGTTACCACAAACTTGTGAGCACATATATATTTATTTATTGGCCGGCTATATTTATACATGGTCTATACACGTAAAAATCTCACAAGATGGTCTTCGCAACAGGCTTGCAGCAAGCCTGTCAACAAGTTGTAACAATGCTGTTATTTTACCAAGTTGCTACAAGGTTGTGAATCACAACTTGTTGACAAATGGTTGAAGTGCAGGACGATAACAAGTTGTTGGAACAACTTGTAACAAGTCTGTTAAGCTCAACCTTGTAGCAACTTGTCAACAAGCTGGGAACAAGCAGTGCGAACACATCCTGTTGACAAGTTGTTGGAACAGCATTGCTATACAAGTCTGCTGAAGGTTTGTTACAACTTGTACGTTTTTACGTGTGTACTCAGAGCTCTGTTAAATTATTATTCCAAAGTCCCAAGTTACGAAAACCTTATTTCGAAATCCGACTACTTTTTGTCTGCAAAACCCAAGCCATATGTTTCCCCAGATATCTTTTCATTCCAGGAGGTAAAGGTAGCTTGTCTAAGTCATGTAGCCCAGAAATATGGCTGCCAATTTTAGCACAACATAAATACTGTAGCGTCGTGGGGAGACTACAACTACGTTCCAATTTCATTCTCGTGCGAGCCGCAGTCGACGAAAGCATCGGGTAAAGTTCTTTGTTCTGTAGTCCACGAAAAGCAACCCCGCACGGTTTGCCCTGGTTGTAAATACTCAATGTTCCGTGCCACATGTCCAGGTGCAAACCCACTACATCGTCTCGTTCTAGTTTCGTTGTAAATTGTTTCATTTCGCCTCTATGTTGAATCGTACCAAGATACGATAGACCCCAGCTCTCCGGGTCTCGGCCCAGCAGACTCGCAAAGGCTGTACGCGAATTGTCTAAGTCCACAGCACTGCTGCCTAAGCCGATCATCTAAGCATGCAAAAATATTTATTAGATTTTATAAAGGACTTTTCACGGCCCACACAAAAATACGTACAGTAAATCCCCGTATATAAGAACCTAGAATTTAAGACCCCCTTTCAATAAGAACCTGTTCAGGCTTGAATTTCAAAACAGATTCTTATATTATCAAATATAGTCAAAATTTAGTCATAAGTTCGAATCAGTGTAGCTTTAAAGTGCGTGCAAAGAGGTGTGCAAATCCGATCCGAATCCGATTCGTTCGCATTTCGGAACAAAAATATTCATTTCGGATTGGATTGATAAAGTTGTTTCGTAGTCTCGGATCGGACTTCGATATTCGAAATAAAATGAATTAATTATCCACGACAACGCGGTTGTCGCTGCATTATTCGTTTGATACTTGAATTGAACGTCACTTTGTCAGCTTCTTGACATGTATTTCTTGCTTTTCTATTTATTTGGTTAAATATTTCCACTTGAATGAGAAATTTATTTTATTAAAGCTAAAGGATTCTTCGGATCGGAATTCTTTATCAAAACTCGGATCGGATTCGGATTAGACAATTTCGGATCGGATTTTAAACATTAGCCAATTGTCGCATTATAAACGTCCAATCCGATCCGATGCACACCTCTAGTTGGTATAGTGATTAGTACAAACCAATTTGTGTAAGAAGACACAGTCTAAAGTGTAGTTGTTGCCTGTCGGTTAGTTCGTTTCCAGTCTTGTCAGTATCCTTACGTCTTTAGTCCTCTCTAAAAATACTGTCACTGTAAATGTTAGTTTCACGTGTGGAACAATTTTCATGGCAATAGATTCTTCCCATCTTTCACCTTCCTGAAATTACTCATTTATCCTTTTTTCTTTCTCCTTTTTACTGTTTCTTTCTACCTCTTTCTGTTTCTATACACTGTTTCCTTTCGGCAAGTATATCAAGTTTCAGGGAGATTAAAATAGTGATAAAATTACGTTCTGAAGTATTTTCATGTAGGATGCTGAGCAATTATTGCCAAAAATAACATGTATATAGAACAAGTGATTAATAGCCAAAATTATTTGGACGGTGTCAAACGGCGTTCACTGAACTTCACTCATATTTAATCCCTGCCAGGGGAATGGTGTTCCCCATGTTTGATTTTGGCAGGGGGATGCTGTTCCCCTGGTAAAAAAGGTGGGGGGACTGCATTCCCCGAGTTTGCCCTGGAAAACATCACTGGCATAGACTGAGCTCCATTCAAAGACTGGCTACCTCCATTCAAAGACTGGCTACCTCCACAGAATAACATCTACAGGCATATCTAATAGAACATGTCTGACATATTTCGTCTTACCATATCAGTTCCATAGACAGCGCTTGTCATCTTAAGCTCCCAGTAATGTTGACTGCCAAGCTCGAACGGTTCTTCGCCTCGGATTGCGGCCGTCCCACAGCTGTAGTCCGGATGAAACAACACCTCATCCTGGTTGCCAAGGGTGATGGAACCCGACATGGAATCCGAATCCCACGTCCAACAACATTCCCGTTCTGTTGACACAAAACAAGAGTAGATAAGGACTGGCAGGGGAGGTCTGGCAGGGGAGGTGGGGGTGGGGGGCTGGGCCGGACTTGCCCCAAGTCTTAATGCTCAAATTGGCTTCATTTTTGATGAAATCTATCCAGTCTGTTATGAGATCAGTTTGAAATGAACTGATCTCATAATATACTGGATAGAATATACTGGATAGACCTAATTGAAAATGAAACTGATCTCTGTACACACTGGATAGACCCTGTCAAAAATGCAGCCAATTTGAGCAAGATTTGAAGTGAGTCTAACAGCAGGGAGTACTTGATTTTCAGGGGGGGAGGCTGGATCTTTCACATAGTTCATATACAGACACTAATCTATCATCAATGTGTATGTGAAATATGACAAAATACAAAGTTTTGGTAAAATGTACAATGTTTCCAGAACACCTGCCAGTAGAGATCACACTATTCTAGCTGGTTCTTCTTCCCTATATTGACACTATGACATCTGATTTGACACTTGAGACAATCACTTGTGACTATCACAGCTGATTTGATCAGACAGATGTTTCTAGAAATTTCTACTATTATAATCACATGTCCACAACACCATCATGTGCGCAAGCATTGCTTGTTTGGCAACCAGAAGAGTGAGTAGAAAGCAATGTTTCCAGTGTAAATCAGACGATATATGCATTGATACACTAGGCTCTGAGCAGGGCTGTGACAGTAATGAAAGTGCAAATTTATTTTCCTTAAACAACAGTACAAATAAGTAAATTCAATTTTGTTTTCTCTTCGATTAACACATTAAGCTGCAATGCGTCCTGATACTAGCTTTGTCGTCTAATTCTGGACAATTCTAGATATTCGGGGAAAGTACTGGCAATTATATGAAATTGATATATCTATATAATTATTCTTCAAAAAGGCTGCCATAGTTGTAAACAAAGCCTAGCCTAGTGTCAATATTACAACACAGCAAAGGACACCTGCTATTTATACTTTCAATACACACAAGCCAAGGGGCGCAGTAAACCCGAAAACCCCCTTCCCAGTATTATTAACTGTATTTATGTGTTCAAGCAGTTCACACGGGAAACACTTTGAGTACTTTAATAGACTATAAAGAATAACGAAAGTCGATTATTATAAATTCCGGCTTTCTACGGGAAAGAATGCGAGTGTTTGCCAAGTTATATCCCCATTTTAATGCGAGTAAAATAATCTGGCGAAAAAAATGCAAATATTTAATACTGCTAGGCACTAAATACTAAATTCTACATCTTTACAAAGTCTGTATATACAATACGCATACTATCCCGCACTGAATTTTAATGTAGAAATTTTGGAATACAAACCATAATTCGAAGATTCCTGTTTGCTGCATGTTGCGTGTTCGGCAATATTAATATTGCTTCTCAAATTTGCCGATGGGGCATCCAGTATTCTTCTCGGAGCTAAGATATCAGCATTGCCCGTAACAGACAGAGTTTTCATTGCTCTATAATAGTTCGACTGGCGTTGTACAATGTTTTTACCAAGCGATACTGTACTGTTTACAAGCTCGATATTTCGAAACCCTGGCAAGCCAAGCGCTTCGCATTGTTGTGGTTCGCCTTATATGGTAAAGTGGGCGGAACCGGCATAAATTAGAACTCTCGACCTCCATTGACGTCATCAATTTTTCATCCGATGCGATAATGTGAATTTACCAAAATGTTTGCCAAAAATTACCCTGGACTCCAGAGCCTTCAGTAAATAATAAATTGAAACGCCGTGAAGGCTCTGGTACAACGGGAGGATTCTTTGATTAAAACTGTACTAAAACCACTAATTCTGTTTTGTGATTGGCGCGGTTTAATCAAAGAATCCTCCCGTTGAACTAGACCTTCACGACGTTTCAATTTATTATTTACTGAAGGCTCTGGAATCCAGGGTAGCCAAGAATGGACCACGGGAATTGAAATCTTCAATTCGTGCGCAAATTCATCTGTGCCGTTGCGGTGTTTTGAAAATTTTGTTTTTATTTTACATTTGAGTGGAATTTCCGTTGTAGCCTCTGCGTTGCAGAGCATGTCAGATAGGCAGCCCAGCAAATATGCGTGTATAAAGTTATTCTGACTTTGCCCTCAAGCGATTAAGACATTAAGTGAATACACATACTTGCTGGGCTGCCTATGCTGCTGTGGAAATGTTCAAAATATGGAATTTTCGGCATGGACTAAATTGAGCATGAGCATAAATTCTAAAATCCGGCATTTCTGCCAGATATGAAGATGAAAAATCGATAACGCGAACTTGGATTCGAGATTTGTCATTTCAAATTTTCAATGCGAAAATAAACTAGATATCAGTTACAATTTTTAAGGTTGAAAGAAAATATTCAAGTTATTACAGACATGCTTCAAACTTCTTGAAGATTGTTCTGTAGAAGATATCACGCTGTGTGCAACTGTCGAACACACTAGCTACAAAGCTAATGACACAGAATATTATAATGACTTGTAATCGTCTTGCAATTATTATTCCGTCGTACTATTAAATAATCAATCTATCCACATGATGTTTCTTTGATAGTAATTTATTACTGCTAACTAATCTGTTGATATGATAATTATCAACATGCTGAATCCTAGCTTGGTAACTTATTAATTTATCTATATGATCATTTTTATAATAATGGATAAATCTGTCGATATGATCACTTTCAGATCACCTGATTAATTTATTTATCGACATGATCATTCATTGATAATAATTGATTAGGCAACCATCGCTTTCAGTTCGGGTGTACTTCGCCATAGAATCGGTTCTATCGTAACATGACGTGTCCACCTTTTGGACGATGGATTTTTCAAACCAGTTCTTCCTCAAATTCAAGATGGCGGCTGAAAGATCTCATTTTATAGCTCCAGTTATTCAGGACAATCCCAATGGCTGGGGCCCGACGTCGGTCTCAGACGCGTTTAAAGGAATCCCTTATCAACCTTTCTCGAAAGGAGATAGAATTGGCAAGGTAATAGTCTGGATTTACTCTAGATTTGTGTACAAAAATAATACATATTTAATAGTTTTTTACCCACGTGTAAATTGATTTTGGTACTTTAGGACTTTATATGAATACGTAGTTAGATAATAATTATGTTGTTGTGTCCTAAGTCAGTTTTTATGTGCGTGGTTGTACAGAATTTTCTGTGAATTGCAAGTAAGTATGATCTTTTGAAGATCCCTCTGACCCTCTTCACCTCTTGCCAGCTCTTGGGGTATAATTCCAATTAATATCCATCCCACCGGGAGGCGGGAACACAATGTTGTTTCAATGTTGAGATTTGGTTGAAAAAAGGTTGTGATGTCGACAACCTGATATGAACGTTACTCTGATGATGTTTTACAAACGTTGGTTCAACAGCAGCTAACAGAAGTAAAATCAACGTTCATTCATGGTTGATTATACGACGTCAACTTGTGAAATATTAAACTCAACATTGTTTCAACTAGGATTCAATGTTGAATTACGGTTGACGAGATTGGCAACCTAATCTCAACGTTGTTTCAATGTCAAAATAGTATTAAACGTCGATCAATTTGCATTTTCAATCCTTTTTCAACATCTACCCAACGTCTCTGGGAGATAATTTCTGACATTGATTCAACTTTGAATAAACGTTGTTTTGCCCGCTGGGATCTCTCCCATCGGGTTGTGACAAAATGGGACTAATACATACCTGTAGATTTTATTGTTGTGGAGGTAGCCAATCTTTAAATGGAGCTAGACTATGCCACATTCTCGTACCCAGAGCCCGTCTTACACGCGATCAACAGAGCATGACAAGGGTAGCAGGTACGATCGGCAGTTGTGCTGCATTTGCCGCAACTGCAGATCAAAATTTAGCTTCTGAACGACAACACAATGCCAAGTGTGCCAAGTATAGAAGTGCATTCTGAGAGTGCATTCTTGCAGTTATTCTAGTTAGACAGTAACTCCGGGCTTAGATAACAAGCTCCAAATGATTTTTGGAATTAGCAACACAGCAAGTAACTTCAAGCTTTATACATACCTAGCGGCTAGGCTGGCTTGCCTCGCTACACAATACTTTTTGGAGTTAGACAGTAACTCAAGGCATAGGTACCTAGTTTTTTCATGATTTTTGGAGTTATTCTTAGCACCAAATGATTTTTGGAGTTAGCCAGTAACTCCAGGCTTAGATGCTTAGCACCTAAATGATGCTTAGCTGCCAAATTTGGAGTTATACCTAGCTCCAAACGATTTTTGGAGTTTGCCAGTAACTCCACAATTCATATTTCAACTCATACGTTTTGAATTACACAAGTTATTCAAGTGTATATTTTGGTTTGGAGTTGGCCCTTTAGACTTTGGAGGTAGCGTCGCTCCATAACTTCCTACTTTCTACAGGCATGGACTAATATGTATTATAATTGGCAATCTAGATATCAGATTGGTCTGGTACATCATACCAAGATAGACGGTACCAAAGTAAGTTGCATGTCAAGAATTTCATGTAAATAAAGTGTTTTTTTTCCAAATATTTCAATCGCAAGATAAAATATTTTTCAAACTATATCATAGATAAATATTTGAACCAGTTTGGTGGAGGCAGTCAGTATGCTTATTACCACGAGGAAGATGAATCCAGCTTTCATCTTGTGGACACAAGCCGTCCTCAGAAACCTATCTACATGAGGAATAGAAATAGATTTAACCAGGTGAGATTGATGGATATGCTAAGGTGCATGTGCCCTCCCCCCCCCTTTTTTTTCACAATCTGTCCCCCTCCTATTGAAATCTGTACCATCCCTCATCATAAGTTGTCCAGAAATCTGTCTACATGAAGACTAGGTGATGTTGATAGTTAGATTCACCAATGAACAATTGTGCCCTCCCCCATAGAAAATTTATACAAGAATGTGCCTCCCCCACACACACATCCTCATCCCTCCATTTGCCCACCATTCCCCCACATGCCCCCCTCTT